CTCTCCTCCCGGAAACTCTCGGCGGCAGCGCGGGGCTTCCCCCGACTTCCTGCAAAACGGCGGAGGGTTCACCCCTCACAGCGCCATTCCCCACCAGCAGCTCCAATTGTCCGGCTGGCCAGAGCACTTCCAGGATCCAGTTGGTGCCAGACTATCGGGAGTGCCAGATCACTGGATGCCGGACAATTGGAGTTTTACTGTATTAGGAATTTTTATGATCAATTTAGTGACTATTACTTTTCAAATATTTTGCTATGAATTAATCTGCCAGTTCAGATCTGATACAGTATACATTTTAAAACTTGTATTTGACCTTTTCATGTTGTTGTTGTAATTTTTAATGCCTTATCTCTTTAAATCAAGGTATAGCAAATGAATCTAAAAAACTGTATGGAGTTCAGTTCCACCCTGAAGTTGGCCTTACAGTGAATGGAAAAGTGATACTGAAGAATTTCCTCTATGATATTGCGGGATGCACTGGTACCTTCACAGTAGAAAATAGAGAACTTGCATGTATTCAAGATATCAAGGAGAAAGTGGGTTCATCAAAGGTCTTGGTAAGTAAGTTTATAATAGGTTTGTAACTTCCAGTCTTATGAATAAAACTGACATTGGTAGTTATGCTGATTACCTAAAAAATGAAAATTTTTATGCTTCAGGGTATAAACTGGCCAACAGTTTAGGAAGCTCATGTGGCACAGTTTGCCTCTATTACTTTGTTTAGCTTTTCATTTTCCTTCGAAGAACTGGGTATAGTGTGATAGGTAGGTTAGTTGTCTGTTCTGGTTACTGTTGCAGTGTTGTTGTAGCCATGTTGATCCCAGGGTATTAAATACAGGAGACCGATGAGTTAATATCTTTTATTGGACCAACAGAACACGTTGTTCTGATCATGGTAATTCTTATATTCAGTCTGAGATTTTAGCTAACTATCATTCTCCCATAAATGTTTGTACAAGTGCAGTTTTTTTCTGACCCTAATCTAGGTTTTACTGAGTGGAGGTGTGGACTCAACAGTGTGTACTGCTCTCCTGAATCGAGCTTTAAACCAGGACCAGGTCATAGCTGTACACATAGATAATGGATTCATGCGCAAAAGGGAAAGTCAGTCTGTGGAGGAGGCACTCAAAAAGCTTGGAATTCAGGTCAAAGGTACTGTATTTCATGTTGCTTATACTTAATGTAAATGAAGATAGTTTGGCTAATTTTCTAAAGAAAAATACATAATCTTACAAGTAATCACAATTTTATTGTCTAATGAAACTGATGTGTACAATTTTGAGAAATTAAATATAAAAAAGGAATAGTTATTAGTAGCCCTGAAAAATGTACTGTTTTTATTTAATATAGGTTGAATTTCTCTAGTCTGGCACTTTCGGGACCTGGTTGTAGGTTGAATTTCTCTAGTCTGGCACCTTCGGGACCTGGTTGGTTCTGAACCAGAGAATTTTCCGGTACATGGGAGGTCAATATTGTCTAGCATCATAACCAACACTTCTGCTACTTACTGGTGTGTTAGAAGATATTTAGGGGTAAATTAGAGCTAAATAACAGCATAGAACACTGAAAGCCAGGACTGATGGCTATAAACAAACTTTATGAGACCATAGGAAACTTGGTCATACCTATGATAAGTGTACATCCAGATAACAAAAATCATTCCAGACAATGGATATTTCTGGACAAGAAAGTTCTGGATTCCCTAGAGATCCAAACCAGAAAACACTACACTGTGCTAGTCATCGTAGAAAAATCACATAGAAAAACACCATCTCAGACCCAAAAAATTTAAAATTTAAGTTTCAGTGTACAGATTCTAACTCACTGAGTAGTACTTTCCACTGATGACTGAAATATGATATCCTGCACTGAGAATTAAACCACTTCACCAGTGCCAAATATGTGATTACAGCTATTGAGGCATTGTATGACAGCTGGCATCTGCCTCAGTCATCAGTTCCTTTTCTTCCACTGGCAAATGAATCAGCTGCCTTCACTGGTTGCAGTTCTCTATTCATATGAAACAGTTTTTTCTTACTGAAATATTTAGCTTGCTGTTCTCTAGCTTATTTTTAAGCCACTTTGTGAGTGTGATACCTTTCTTATTTTCATATTTTTTAATAAACAAGTTTCTTTTGCAGGTGTATATTGTACCAATAGCTTCTGGGCAGAAGCCTACTTATTTATTTTAACCTATTTTGAGTTACAATCAGTACATATTGAGATATCAGACGGTATCCTTTTTTGTGCAGTAAGATTTTGGCTTGATTATCCTCAGAGATATGATGGGATCAGAGCAGACAAATGACTCATGTCAAAGTTAGGCAGTGAAATATCCTATCATTCATACTATTTACATAAAATCATGTAATTCATTAGTAACTTTTGTATATTAATTAATTTGGCAATAAATAGTATTGTGTCTAATATCTCTTATGTTCAGATTGTCAAGGCATCTGGTAACATGGTATATGTTAGGCAACACATTCATTTAAACTTCCAGTCATGAACAGTGCAAACAGCTATAACCTTTATATCTTCCAACTTTTCACAAAGAAAACCTTGCCCAGAATAGTCTCAGCTTTGTCCATCCTTAGTAGGGGTGTAAAATCCCTATTACTTAGTTAACTGGTTAAATTTAGTGTCAAGCTGGAGCCCCTTTTGTACCACCAGGAACGGGGCTGCTCCAGCTAGGCTGTAGTGCCCTTGTCTGCTCAAGTCCCCAACAGTTAATCACAACCATTAAGGGTAATGCTTACTAGTTACCCAGTTAACCTTTCATATCCCTAATCCTTGGTAATTATAGAATGGAATAGATTAGTAAGGGAGGTGAAAGAAAAACCTTCACCTCAGACAATCCTGTAATGAGTGAGTGCTTGAGTAGCCCTGTAAAATGCAGAGTGTCTGAAGATGACTACCAAGTGATCTTTTTCAAGTCATAGACTTATTTTCTGTAATCCTGTTTAGTATTGTATATTGAGTTTGTCAATACATTCCTGTATTTTGTGCAGTGGTAAATGCAGCCCATTCATTCTACAATGGTACAACAACTCTGCCAATCTCTGATGAAGACAGAACTCCCCGAAAGAGGATTAGTAAAACTTTAAATATGACTACAAGTCCTGAGGAAAAAAGAAAAATTATTGGTGACACCTTTGTGAAGGTAATTATTTTAGCATTTAAAAGGAATGCTGTCATTTAAATATATTTTAAATGCAGTCTTACCCTGCTGGTTAAAATATCTTCTTTTGAGAGAACCATTCTCTGGCAGTGTATGCTTCAGGACATCAGCTGTCAGGTATGTTTTGACATGCAGATGTTGGACATAGGTGAGGATAGAACATAAACATCTTGCTTCAGAGCCAAGGCCTCTACCACATAATTTTAAAGAGAATCTGTTAGCTGAAGCAAAATTAGGTCTGTCGCTGATCACAGGGTGATGGTCACAAACAGTTGAATATATGTATTCTGTCCACTGTGCAATTTATTGGCTGAGTCATGTATAATGGCTAATGTACATTACACAAGCTTTAACAATAACATACTTTTACTAAATCAGAAATTACTAAATTGATAGTTAATATCTTGGTTTTGGTGTGTTTTTATTACTGTGTCAACTTGCAGCTATTTTCAGTTTTGTCTTATCATTAATGATGCAGGGAGGATGTATATGTAGCCATGAGCAATGTTAGTATTAGTGTTAATTCAAGTATTTAAAAGTATTTTTTATTCATCATTCACCTAAATACATAACAGACAAATGTGTGGCAAGATTTTTGGCTTTCCCCTTTGAGGAATAAAATATTATCAGGAGCAGTCTTCTTATCAGTGGTCTAAAGCAGAGAGGTTTGCAATATTATTTGATCAACGTAAAACATTTATTTTTCCCTCTACATTATAGATTGCCAATGAGGTAATTGGAGAAATGAACCTGAAACCTGAAGAGGTCTTTCTTGCTCAGGGAACCCTAAGACCTGATCTCATTGAAAGTGCTTCCCTTGTTGCAAGTGGCAAAGCTGAAGTAATCAAAACTCATCACAATGACACAGAGTTGATCAGAAAACTGAGAGAAGAGGTAAATAGAAATGATGGTATTACATTTATTTTATATTAGTGTAATCCAAATCTGAAGTTAAATGTGGAAAAAACAGAAATAGTGTATATATCTTCTATCCATATAACTCTCAACACACTAGGGAGACTTTGTACAGAGACCAGTGTGGCAGGGCACTATTTTGGCTAGGGCCTTTAGGTGTTTTTTGTAATATATGTTTGGTTGTAATTAATTTACTCTTCTAGCTTCCTGGTTCCCTTAAAGTAATTTTGGTGGGTCGATTATTTGAACAGTTCTGAATAGTTTGGAAAAATATTTACAAATGGTCAGTTTTGCTTTTCATCATTCTTCCATTTAAAAAGTGTTTCACAATAACAGAGCAGAAACAATACCATGTGATTGAGATAGAAAGCTAGTTTGAAGAGGCTTCTCAGACAACCTAGCTCCACCCCACCTGCAACTCATTAATCAAGAAGGAGTTTGTCTGCCTTCTCAGCGTTCATTGTACTCACTTTCCAACAAAATTTAGACCCTCTCTAAGGTAGCCTGGACTCAAGACCTGTGAATAAAACTCACACTTTTCCTGACTTCTGAAAGACAGTCTTGTGCCATTGATTCCATGTGAGTCTGAAACAGCCAATCCCTTATTCAGGAAGGAATCTTTCCCTGTCCTTCAAACACAATAATTCAGATTCAGCCTTGTTCTAGCTCAGCTACAGCCAAGTGCCAAACTTTCAATTTCTGAGTAAGGTCAAAGAGAAGTTAGCTGAATAAGGGATTGGCTGTTTCAAGCTCACATGGAATCAATGGCACAAGACTGTCTTTCAGAAGTATTTTTTTTGTTTATCTAATTGAAGCTATTATCCTAGATGGACATGATCTGAATGTGGACTTGTTGTCAATGGATAGAACATATGCATCCTTTTTTCTCGCCCTAGACTTCTCTGAAGCGCTTGACAATGTCAACTGTAAGACAGTGTTCTCATGTCTCAGAGTGGCAGGAGAGGTCCAGGGTAATACACTAAAATTGCTAGAATCCTTTCTGGAGGGACTTGCCCAACAAGTAGCGATGGGAAATGGCACCTCCTAAACCGCTTATTTGTGGAGTCTGCAAAGATCAGTTCTCTCTCTCTGCTCCTGTACAACATTTACACACACCTAATAAGTGAGCTGATCAGACAACATGGATTAATGCCAAAAATATGCAGATGATTCACAGCTTTAACTATCCTTTATCACAGATTACCACAATTCTACCATTAATATGGCCCAGGGCTAGGATGAAATTAGCCCATGTATGAAGAAAGCTGGTTGAAACTGAACCTGAGCATGACAGAGATGGTGCTTGTTGTCAGAGGAAAGCATTTGGAAATTTCCACCATAGTACTGTCTCCTTTGGTTGAAGACATGCACCCAAAATTTGTCAGTTCAGTCCATGGCTTAGGTGTGCTCCTGAATTCCTTATTGACACTAAGCACTTTTGCAGCAGCATATTAGAGTAATGCTTAGTACCATCTGTTGTTGGCTATGAGACTCCATCTCATTTTGGCAAGCAGTGACCTGCCTCAGTTGCTCACGCCTTCATAACCTCCCAACTGAATTCGAGTATTGCAATATACCTGGTCACGAAGTGGACAGAAATGCATTGCATTCCAATACAGTGGAATCTTAGAGCTACAAACACTTTGGCAATGGAGATTGTAACTCTGAAATGTTTATAACTCTGAACTAGGGATGTTAAATTTAGTTTAATCAACTAATAGACTAGTTGTTAAAATTTCCATTGATTAGTTGATAAACAGGGGAGCCTCAGTGGGATTAACTCCCGGCCCCAGGAGCCAACCCGGCTGTGGCTCTGCCTTTTAAATGTATTAAGAGCCTTCGTGTAACCCTTTATGTCTCTAGCTAGATTGAGCTTATTTTGTGCCTTTGCCTTTCTGATCTTGCCCCTGCATACCTGTGTTGTGTGCTTATATTCATCCTGTGTAATTTGATCTAGTTTCCACTTTTTATGATTCCTTTTTGATTTTTAGATCATGCAAGATCTGGTTAAGCCAAAGCAGTCTTTTGCCATACTTTCTGTCTTTCCTACACAGTGGAATAGTTTACTTTGGGCCCTTAATACTGTCCCTTTATGCAGGAGCCTGGCATATGGAGCAACAGGGCTGCCCAGCCAGGGGCCAGAAGCCCAGTGTATGGTGGTGAGGCCACCTGGCAGGGCAGTGGGGACCAACAGCCGGGGTGGAGCTGGGCAGGAGGCCAATGGCACTGGTGGTAGGAGGGCCAGAAATGGCCTCCCCTTGTCTGACAAAATCACTCATCCTGGACTGGTCAGGTCCTGAGGGTGCTGTACCAGGCAGGACCATTAAATAACCTATTTATTTATTTTGTCTGTCTTTGCTACTGCTTGATGGCATACTTCTGGTTCCATATGAGGTGTGTGTTTGACTGATTGCTTTGTAACTCTGGTGTTCATAAACCCAAGGTTCTACTTTTCTGGCTTCTCATAGAACAAGGGTGGGGAGCCTTTTCTGGGTCAGGGGCCGCTGACTCAGAAAAATCAGTTGGGGGCCAGGGGTTACAGGGAAGCAGCAGGAGGCTGGAGTGACAATGCGGGTTCCCCAATGCTGTGGGAACCCCTAAGCCTCGAGGGCCAGATCCAGACAACCTAGAGGCCCCATCTGGCCCCTGGGCCTTAGGTTTGCCACCCCTGCCATAGAATATTGAATCAATATTCAATATCTCGGTACTTTACAATATTCTTGATGGCCTGAGTCTAGAGTATTAAAAGATTTTCTTCTAAAGCTGGGGGATGAAGACCATGCTTAACAAGTTAACTTCTCTGGTGCAATGGATTTTTCCTTCATGTATGAGCTTTATCCTTAATATAGAGACAGAGCTTTCTGAAGTCTTCACCTGAAACTGTAGAATGAATTCCCACAAGAACTCCGAACCAGTACAAACAAATCTTGCCACCTTCTACAATACATGCAAGGAGCACTTCTTTATCCTTCCCTTCCCTAACATTAACATATAATAACGTGTCTGTGCACATGCCCTTGTTGATAATTTAAAAAAATATTAAAATGAGATGTTTCATATTCTAATTTCCTTCTTTAATGGGGTTACCGTCTTAGTAGGGAAGCGGAAGGTGTAATCTCTCTTGATTTTAGTATGACTTTTGACACAGTCCCACATCACATTTTCATAAGCAAACTATGGAAATGTGGTCTAAATGACATTTTACTGTAAGTTGGATGCACAATTGGTTGAAAGACTACTGAAGAGTAGTTATCAACCTTTTGCTGTCAAACTGAAGGCATATCTAGTGGTGTTTTGTAGGGGTCATTCCTGGGTGTGGTACTATTCAGTGTTTTTTTTTTTTTTTTTTTCCATTAATGACTTGGGTAATGGAGTGGAGAGTAGGGATGTGAATGACTAGTCAACTATACAATAAGCAGATAGTTGACACACTAGTCAACTAGTTGCTCCCTCTTTCCTCCTTTCCCCACACCCCCCGTTGCTGCCTCTATCAGAAAGAGGCAGCAAGGAGGAGGAAGAGAAGAGGGGAGCTTCAAAGTGGCAGTGCTGCATGGAGCCCAGCATGTTTCAAGAGGCAGGGCTGCTTGAGTCCCCTGCTAGCCCTGTGTTCCCTGCAGCGCTTTGGCCTTTAAAGTGTAGCAACAGCCCTGGGACTGTTTTAACTATTCAATTAACAATTAATTGTATTGACTATTCAATTAACCAATTAATCTAAATTTAATATGCCTAGTGGAGAGTGCATTTATGAAAGTTGGAGGTGACACCAAACTGTGAATTTTTCTAGCATTTTGGAAGGCAAAGTTAGAATTCAAAATTATCTTCTCAAAATGAAGCATTGGCCTGAATTCAACAAGATAAAATTCAATAAAGACAAGTACAAAGTACTTACAAAGGAAAAGTCAAATGCCTAACTATAAAACTATTTAGGTGGTAATACTGGTGAAAAGGATTTGGAGGTTATAGCGAATCACAAATTATATGAATCAATGCAGTTGTGTGAAAGACTAATATTCTAGGGTTTACCATTGAAATGTTGCATCTAAGAAATGGGAAGTAACTGTCCCTCTCTACCCAGCACTGGTGAGGCTTCAGCTGGAGTACTGTTTCCAGTTCTGGGCACTAAACTTGAAGAAAAAAACGGAGAGAGCCTAAAGAGCTACAAAAATGATGCAAGGTTTAGAAAACCTGACCTATAAGGAAAGATTAAAATTATCGGACATGTTTAATCTTGAGAAAAGAAGACTAAAGGGGGATTTTAGGGGGATCTTATAAGTCTTCCAGTATGGTAAGTGCTATTATAAAGAGGATAGTGATCAATTGTTCTGCATGTCTGCTGAAGGCTTAATAATAGGCTTAATCTGCAGAAAAGGAGATTTAGGTTAGATGTTAGGAAAAACGTTTTAATTATAAGGGCATTTAAGCTCTGAAATAGGCAAAGTCCCTTCCAGCTCTGTATTTTTGTGATTATGTACTCTTCTCCATCCAGGCAAAGGTTAAAAGAACAAATATGTGACAGATGTGAGACATGAACAGTGATAAATGTTATATCTACTCTATATTTGGGACAGTTTCTATTTGTGTGTCCTTCTGTGTCTATCAGTCTCCCATCTGGGGTACATGCACCCCTACCCCGGCTGTGCCCGCTGCATGGCCATGGACAGGCGTATCTCACCTGGCGTCAAGCTACTGAGGTGAGAGAAGGCTGGGGTTGTCCTCTTTCCTTGAGGTAGCCTGATACTGAACCCCTTAGCTCCAGCCTCACTCCAGAACATTGATTTAAATGAAGAAAAACAAAATTTATTTGTGTTGAGAACCCGAGTAATGCTGGGTAAATCTTCTAGTAAGAACCTATAGAGAATAGATGACTACACCATATAGAAAATAGTTGATGTTACTGGCCCATAACCTGATTTTTTCCCCATGTCCTTAGTGACTAATTAATATATTTGAAGACATCTGGATTGGCCTGTGAATGACTGAACTGAAAAAGCTTCTAAATTTGTATGGCATATTCACAACAAATAATTTAACCAGTTTTAACTAGAGGCCTATCAGGCAGCTGATGGAACAGTTTTATTTTTTCCTATCATTGAAGCTAAATGTGTGGTAAAGTTTTATGTTCACCTATTTCCTCTTCTTGTTAAGCATTTTCTCAAAAAAAAAAAATCCATATGTACCCATCCTTTCTGCGTCAGGTATTAATCTTCAGTACTGGCAGTTGCCTGCTTTTCATAGGACTAATTTAATTTAAACAACATTATCTGTTAACAGATGGTTGGAGTTATTACTAAAATGCTATTTGAACTCAGAAACTTGAATGTCAATTACTTTATTTTTGTTTAGGGTAGGGTAATAGAGCCCCTGAAGGACTTCCACAAGGATGAAGTAAGAGTGCTAGGGAGAGAACTTGGCCTCCCAGAAGATCTGGTCTCAAGGCATCCATTCCCAGGTATGGTATTTAGGATTAGTGTAATTTAGGGATGTTAAGGACCAGTCAACTAGTCGACTATCCGATAAGCAAGCAAATGCTTATCAGATAATGGACAGGATAGATGACTAGTCACCACCCCCTTGCTGTCTCTCTCAGATAGAGGCAGCAAGGGTGGGAGGAGGAGATGGAGGTACTTAAAGCGGCAGTGCTGCACAGAGCCCGCGGTCAGCTCTGGCATCAAGCTCTTCGCATCATTTCAAAGCAGCAGCACTGCGTGGAGCCTGGGATCAGCTGGACCCCAGGCTCAGAGCGGCATTGCTGCTTGGAAACACCGCCACAGCGTTTCAAAGTGGCAGCGCCGCACAGAGCCCGGTGTCAATGGAGGAGTCCCCAGCTGACCCCGGGTTTCGGTGCTTTCGCCTTTGAAGTATAGCAACAGCCATGAGGCTTTGCTACACTGCAAAGGTGCCCTATCAACTAATTAGTCAATTACATGATACTTAACATCCTTAGTGTAATTCATTAAAGTCAATGACAACAAATGGTACTAGTGCTCAGAATAAGTTTTATATTTTCATATAAGAAAAGATCTCTACAGTGTTAAGATAGGAACTTGATATCATCTACTATGGCTTTATATTCAAGCAGATTTTGTATTTTCTAGAGATGAAGCACTCATTATAAGAGAGTGTGCTTATAGTGATAAAGAATTATTAGTCTGGTAGCTTTTTTTATATGCTTTCTATTTCAGCTCCATAGGCCAAAAACTCCATTAACAGTGAAGTGTAACTGAATACTATTTGTACGGTCTAATTTGGAACACTAATATAAGTCATTCCTTTCCAGGAACAATTTATTTTTTGTAGAAATAAGGGACTATAAGAGATAGCAAAAGTTCTTGACCAGACAGTCTCAGAATTGTGTTAGAGAAAACTGAACCCTTCTAAAAGGGTTGGTGTAGTTTTTAAAATATGCTAGGAACAAAAGTAGTTTCATAGTTTTTGCAGTTGATAGTAGCTGGCAGGTGGCACAAACCAGCCTATTAGTAGCACAAGTACTATATAAAGCTATGAATTAGTTTAGGAGTACCACTGCCTTTGTATTGCAAGAGCTGTCATTAGGATACTGAGCCAAATTAAAAGCAATTTTGTGATAATCAGCTTTGAAGGCAGTTCCACTGTCAGCATTATTCAGTGATGTGTTAGACTTGTAATTGTGAAGTTTTTCTCAGATCTCCACAACTTTTGCATGCAAGTTATATAACAAGAGGAGGCAGTGGCGACTGTCTCATCATTGCTGTAATTACAGTCTTTTCTATTTGTAGCAAAACGTCAGAGGCACTAACCACTGCCTGACATAACCATGTACTTTAGGATGTAGGTAAACAATGTCTGGATGTACAAGTTAAGTAACCAAAGTGCTGCTTCAGAGCAGATTTTGTATATGGAACAAACTTGATAAAAATTTTGTTAAGCTAACTAATACTGCAGATCAGCAAAATAAACAAACTCTACTTAACGATAAAGCTGTCTCTTCTGAGATGCATATAGAACATTTTAAATGTGACTGTTCACTTGCATGTTCTTTACTGTAATATTGGTTTAACTTTGCATTTCAGGTCCCGGCCTAGCAATCAGAGTAATATGTGCTGAAGAACCTTATGTTTGCAAAGACTTCCCTGAAACTAACAATATTTTGAAAATAGTAGCAGATTTTTCTGCAAGTGTTAAAAAGGTAATTAAATATTGTTGAAACTGAAGAAGGTGGGTCTCTTGGGAACCAAAAATGTGAAAGAAATATGAATGGTAATTCTTTGAAGTATTAGGGTGATATTTATAGTATACTAGCAGTAGTAAGGCTTAAAAAAAATAAAATGTACATGCTTTATTTAAATAATGACACTTGGTAGGGAGTGGAGGATGCAGGAGGTTAGATGTGTGAGGGGCTCGGAGTAGGGAGTGGAGGGTTCAGGAGTCAGGTGGGGAATTGGGGCTCAGGGCATGGGGCAGGGGTTCAGGAGACAGAGCAGGGGGATGAGAGGTGTGCACGGGGCTAAGGGCAGGGGGTTGGATATATGTAGGAGCTCAGGGGAGGGGGTTCATTGAGTTAGGTCAGGGGGTGGGGAGGATTCAAGAACTAAGAGGTCAACAAATGAAATTAATAGGCAGCGTGTTTAAAACAAACAAAAGGAAGTATTTCCTCACACAATGCACTGACAGTCTGGAATTCTTTGCCAGAGGATGTTATGAAAGCCAAGACTATAACAGAGTTAAAAAAGAACTAGATGAATTCATGGAGGATAAGACAATCATTGGCTACTAGCAAGGATAGGCACAGATTGTATCTCTAGCCTCTTCCAGAAGCTGAGAGGGGATGGATCACTTGATGATTACCTGTTCTGTTCATTTTCTCTGGGGCACCTGGCATTTGTCACTTTTGGAAGACAGCATACTGGGCTTATGTCTTATCTTCTTAAGTTGTATGCTGCATTGTTTGAGAAGTGCTGTTTGATACTTAATTTGTGCCAACTTGAAGATTTTCTGTGTAGTCAGCATTATTGGTGATATAATAAAACTGTGTTTAAATGTTTAATGTGTTTTTAGAAAAAGAAAAAGTTAATTTTGTACTACTCTATAGCAGCAGTTCCCATCCACTGGTCTGAGGACTGCTGGCAGGCTGTGAACCCCTGCCTGCTGGGCTGCAGCACTCAGCTGGGGGCGTGGTCTGGCAATGGGCCGCAGTGAGGCTGTCCCTATTGGAGCGGGCTGCAATGAGGCTGTCCTTACTGGGGGACCTCAGCATGGCCCAATTCCAGCTCCACGGCAGCCGCATGGCCTCACTGGCGGGGCTGGGGGGCAGGTGGCTGCCCCATGTGCCGCAGCTGGAACTGGGCTGTAGTGAGGCTATCCCTACTTGGGCAGCCTCACCAAGGCCCCGATTCCAGTTCCGTGGCAGCCAAATGACAAAATCCCTGTAGCTTGACAAAGGAAACAACATGACTAACACAAGTAGGCCTTTTTGAATAAATTGGTTTTAATTACACCACAGAACACAGAGTACAGTGCTCACTTTATTATTTTTTATTACAAATATTTGCACTGTAAGAAGGATAACAATGCAGACCCGTGTGGACTAATGCACTTTCATTTCATCAGCTGACTCAGATGCCATCAACAGAAATTTATTCATTATTTTGTTATGAGAATTATCAGCATGGAAGTGTATCATCTAGAATGTTAGTCCAAGTATGAAGGGGTAAATAAACGTTAGCATATCTGGAACATTAAATACCCTGCAATTCTGGCTATAACAGTGCTAGGTGAATGTCCATTCACACTTTAGGTGACATTATAAGTAAGAAGCAGGCAGCATTATTTCCTGTAAATGTAAACAAACTTGTTTGTCTGAGTGAATTACTGAACAAGCAGGAGAACAGAGTGGATGTATATCAGGAGTGGGCAGCAAAAGAGCCTCTCTGTTTCTGGGCGCTGCCATTTTTAAGTGCCCCGTAGTTCGAACTACCTGCCCACGGCTACACGTGGCACGGGCTAGGTAGTTCGAATTAAAGCTCCTAATTTGAACTACCCTTACTCCTCCTGCAACTCCTACCGTTACTCCTCCGGGCGGCGCCCGGGAACATGCAAATGAAGCCTGGGATATTTAAATCCCGGGCTTCATTTGCAAGTTCGAATGACTACATTAGCCACCCTAGTTTGAACTAGGGTGGATAGTGTAGACATACCCTAAGTGTGGTTCTCCATTGCAGGGTGGGGGCAGACTTTGCATGGTCCCCCCCTCTCTTAGATGCTGATTGACCTGGGGGCCCGGGGTGGGAGCATGCAAAGTCTCCCACCATCAGGGGGACAGGCACCTGGAGGGAACTGCCAAGCTGTTCTGAACAGCTAGAGGTTCTCTTGGCATGGGCGGGGGCAAAGACTTCATGCACTCCCCCACCCACAGACCAGTGAAGGTCTGTGGGTGGAGAAGCAAGGAAGTGTCCTGGCATTGCCCCTTCAGAAATTTCTGAAGTGGCCCCTGCTGAGAAATTACTTCCCACCCGTGATTTATATTCTCTAATGTTCTACATGGGCTTGGTTTTGAGAGCAGTTATGTAAATAAAAAATTCTACATTTGTAAGTTGCATTTGCACGATGAAGAGATTGTATTACAAGTATGTGTATGAGGACAATTGAAAAGTACTATTTCTTTAGTTTATCATTTTTACAGTGCAAATATTTGTAATCAATAATAATATAAAGTGAACACTGGACACTTTGTGTTCTCTTTTGTAATTGAAATCAGTATATTAGAAAATGTAGGAAAAAAATCCCAATATTTATTGTACATTTTAATTGGTATCGTATCCTATTGTTTAAAATTGTTATTAAATTTTTTAATCTTATGATTCATTGCTTCTTTTTAACCATGTATGATTTTGATCTTCACATCCACGCAATGACATGTATTGTGTGTGTACAGATGCGATGTAAAATATCATGCGACCGCTTAAAACGAATCACCATAATGAATATTCAAATACTCAAATCAATTAATTACCATAGCAAATATGCAAATGTTTCAGTGGCAGTCTGCCAAAAGTTTTTGAATGAGTTTGCTGGTCTGCGGTATTATAAAGGTTGAGAGCCACTGCTCTACAGTATCAGAATGGGTTGTTTAGCTAGAACAATCTAAAAATTACTGTGCTAAGAGAACTTATGTGACTGTTTCCAGCCATATAGTATTAGCAGAAAATAGTAGTTGTATTTTTTTTAAATTTACCTGCATGAACTGTCATTGGTCTTTTAGATCATAATGTGAGAAGTAAGGGTCTGATATACTCGAGGAATGTAATACGCAGGAATTCTGAGCACTGGAGTACATTAGTAGTGTATCATTTTCCTCTATTTGCAGTAATTACCATATGATAACTTCAGCTACATCTGTCTAGCTGAAAAAGGCTTCAAATTAGCTATCAGAAGTTACACTGAGAACAATGTGTTCATCACACCTGGCCATAGGTTGCTGATGAATTATCTGATCACCAGTGGCCTAATTGGAGTGTCAAGATTATTGTCGCCTTTATGAGGATGCTGCTGTCTTATGCATCTGGAAGAAATAGCATACATGGAAATCGCAGTGAATGATGGCTTTAAGTTATTTTTCTTTCTAGATGTGGCTTAAATCTGCTTATGCCGTTAGACTGTACTGTTCCTCATAATCCTTAAGATTTGTTAAAATAAAACTTTTTCATTGCTCTACAATGAATAAAGATATCATAAATGTAGAGTGTAAACCAACAGTTGGCTGCATAAATATTTATAACTTTTATCTGAATGTGTCTTTTTATAAAAATTATGAAAAGTTATTTTCTGCCCCCTTGCACAGCCACACACTCTGTTGCAAAGGGTCAAAGCATGCACGACTGAAGAGGACCAAGAGAAACTGATGCAGATCACAAGCCTACATTCACTGAATGCCTTCTTGCTGCCAATCAAAACTGTGGGAGTGCAGGTTAGTGGAGTGAGTCTGCAGAGGTGTTGAAGGTTGCTTATGCTGAATACAGAAGACTGCAATGTAATATAATCAATAATTAATGCTTTAAGAATAAAAATGAAGAAAATACCATGTCCCTAGGAAAGAAAATTAAGAGAATGCACAAGATACTACTTCTAATTTATAACTTATTTTTTGTTGATGTGTGGGTCTTCAGGTAATCTGATGTCCTCAGGAAGTTTATTCAGGCCTTACGTAAGTGTCTATCCAGCTGACTGAAATTCTTAAGATTAGGTAACACCTCTGAGATGCTGTGCCAAAAGATTTATACTGCCCATTCGACCTATTTATTTGTTCATTATAATTAAAAAGAAAACTCCAAAACCAAGAGCATTAACACCAAACAGCTTGCCTTATTACATTTGTGTTTTTGACATGACATTTCAAGGATTCTCCTGACATTTTTTGTGACTGTTATGTTTGATTGTTATCTATTCTAATTAGTTCTTTTGAGATCAGATTCATAGGGTACAGTGTCTTGGTTACTTGCTTTAAATTGAACTATTTTCTGCATTTGCATTAGTATAGCAATTATGGATATGCATGCCAAGTGCTCTTCTAATATCAATGAGTTTTTAAAAATAAGTTATTTTTGTTGAAATTAAATATTTACATATTACCAAACAGAAGTGCAGAATAGGCTTAAATGCCTTCTTCCACCTTGATAGGTGCTTACAGTATTATTTATGCATGGCAAGGTCATTTAATTAAATTTAGTGGAAAGTGGTGTGGTGTGTTTAGTGGAAAGTAGTGTGTTCAGCCTACCTCTTTTGTGGGGGTTGGCCTTGCAATATTAGGCAAATGTTTTGTTAGAGTTTTGTTAGATGGCATTGGTTATGTTTCGAAAATATTTTGTGATTTGGGGCATTTTTAATACAAGTTGTACCTCCCTAAACCAGAACTCTCTGGATCATAGAGCCTAAGGTCAGGGAGCCTTGGGGCATGGAGCTCTGGAAGCATGGGGAGCCTCGCATCAGGGAGCTCAGGAAGCTCCGACAGCTCAGGGAGCTATTGTAATGCAGCCCAGAGCTCAGGTGGTATGAAGAGTTCCGGCCATGCAGCCAGAAACTCCACAGTAGGGCGCTCAGGCAGTGCTGGGAACTCCAGTGGTACAGTCAGAAGCCCTGTGGTAGAGGCTCAGGCAGTGTTGGGAGCCGTGCAACAAGGGGTTTCAGCGGCGGAGCTAGGAATCCTGGAGCAGAGGGATCCGGCTGCAGGGCCAGAGCCAGCAGCACAGTCGTCTGAAGGCGGTATATCTGGCTGGGCCGGAAGCAGAGCCAGTGGGAGCCTGGTGGCAGAGGACCTCCTCTGGTGCGGCAAATTCCCTTGTTCAGCACGGGTCAGTCCCCAATGTGCCATATGGAGGTCCAACCTGTAGAACTAGCTTGAATTCATAAAATAATGTTAAAAGTTTGAAGAGATGACAGCACTGGAAGCTAAGAATGAAATACTGTCTTTTAAATTCTCCATAGAATAGCATAATTTTGCTGAATATTTAATATTTAAGTTCAATATTCAGAGACCCTTCCAGTATCCAGGAATTGCAAGGCAAATTAAAGATATAGGTTCAAGTTCTGCCTAAGCTATAGTCAGGCAGTCATATTGATTTCAGTGGGCTTATAATTGTTAATTTTACATCAACAATTCAACATTTTAGTTTTCTAACTTGATTTTTAACAGCTATGAAATAATTGGGAAAGTATTGTATATTGTTTTATACGTTAATTGTTTGATTATTGGTGGTTCACTTTTTGTTATTTCCTAGGGTGATTGTCGCTCATATAGCTATGTTTGTGGGATCTCAAGTAAAGATACTCCGCACTGGGAGTCACTTATGTTCCTAGCCAGGCTCATACCGCGTATGTGCCACAACATTAACAGGTATATATTCTCAATTTGGTATGCAATAATTATCTTTGTTTTTGTCAGTTTATTAATAATTATTGTGCCTATATTGCAGAAATTAGAACAAAGGTTAGAAACTGAGAACTGAAAGTAGCTAATATAACTTAAGTGTTTTCCTTTTAAACATTATGAGATTTAGTTATAATCACTGTCCAATGAATTTTGATGTGCAGTTATTCCAAAAATGCACAGACTTGAAATACTCATCAGTATGTTTTCTCCCCTGGTGATGGTCACTTGATAAGACAAAATAGAGTAAAACTTGTATAAGGCCCCATTTTGCTAGGCAATCTGCTATTTTGCATGGCTGCTCCAAACAATGAATGGACTTATTGTATGCCATTTAGAAAATATTTTGGCTTGTCCTAACTCAGCTGTCACTGACGTTACTTGTAAAACTCCCATTGACTTAAATAGGACCTGTGTTAAGCCAACACTAAGCAATATAAATAGTTCAGTTTGTTCCACCTGTGTTAGAAAACTACCTCTGTTAAACATCAGATTTGCTAGCCCTTTGAGTGTCTGAAGACATCTTTTTCTTTACTATGAAATATTAATTCCATCTGTTTATCACTGAACTAATTAGACAGTGCCTAAGAAAGGTCTAGGTGCACTTTGCTATAGAAATTTATATATGGCAATGTAGCAATAGTGCCATTCAAGCTAATAGTTAAAAGAGTTGTGGCTTGAAAGGAGATAAATGTTCTTGGTTCCCTTAACCTGGTAGTGCTGTCTGTTATTAATGTTGCACAACATTTTTCATTATAAGATACTATTTTTAATTTCTTATAATTTTAACTAAGTTTTCCATGCCAGGTGTCTGCCTCAAGCTGATTTTTGGGGGGGAAACTTCAGCCAACACAGTTCAGCCATTTCCAAGAATGAGGCTATGGAAAAATATGTTTTGTACATAGTAAATTCTGGTGACCTCTATTTTAAAAAGCTCTGCATTAGAGTAGGTATTTGATATTTGGCAGATGCTTTACTTTGTCTCAGGATGAGCCTTTTTGTTGTTCCTTTGAAAATCTGCTGAAGTCTGGCCTTTGAAAAATAAATGACAGTTCACAGTTGCTCAGCTAAATTTTCTGAAAATGCCATCTTCATTGAGTATGCTTGGGCCTCTTGCAGCTCCTAGTACTGATAACACTACTGCTATATTTACATGATAGCCAGAATCAGTGGAGTGGAGATCGATGTATCAGCAATCAGTTTAGTGGGTCTAATGAAGACCCACCAAATTGACCTCAGATTGCTCTCCAGGTGTCCCATGTACTCTGCCCCTAATGAGAAGAGTAAGGTAAGTTGATGGGAGATCTCCGGTCAACCCCACACAGTGTAGATACTGAATTAACTTGACCTAAACTATGTCAATTCCAGCTGTGTTGTTCATGTAGTTGGAGTTGCTTACCTTATGTTGACTTACTGTGGTAGTGTAGACCTACCCTACGCATGCACCATTCCAAAGGATATGCTATGGCCTGGAATCTTTTTCCCCCTGTAAAGGCTGTTCTTAGCTGGTGTGGGATTAGACATTGGAACTAGAGCAGTGAGTCCCTCTCTCCAGTGCTCTCAGTGATCTCCCTACTAGCATCTAAGCCAGGAGTTGGCAACCTTTTCAAACCAAAAAGCCAAACTCATCAAAATTCAAAGCAAGTAGTCAACAGAGACATTATAAGAATATCCATTTGCATGACTGAAAATATACAACTTAATGTTATTGATAATTGATATAATGATTGATTAATAGCATAAATGAAACATACTCACAGACTTTATTTAATGGGACTTCTGCTATTGCATCTTTTCACACATTTCTTTGGAGTTTACATCATAACTGGTCAAATCCAGCTTCATGCACTCGTTCAGGCTGTCTTCTGTCACTCTTATGGGGGAGACTGAGATTGAGCAAGGAGTTGTAGGGAGACTGAGGCTAGGAATCAGTAGGAGAAGGTGGGGAAGAGCTCTGACAGGTAGCCAGAGAGCAGGTGGAAAGTTGGGAGTGGCGTAGCAGAGAGACTGGGGGACAGAGCCAGAGAAGGAGGAAACTAGAGCAAGATGATGGGGAGGAGATTATGCAGGGGATACTTTGAGAGCATGGTGAGGAGACAGGTCAGACAGGATGGGGTTGATGGGACAAAGAATTCAGGTGGGAGGGAGAGACCTGGGACTTCCTGGGAAAGGAGACTGAGATTAGGTGTGAGGAGGAAAGACTGGGACTCAGACAGCAAGCCCAGCGTGGGAGTCTAGGATTGGCTGGGCAAGAAGACTGAGTCTTAAATAAGAAATCTAGGGAATAAACCTGGGACATAGAATGGACCTGCTTTGGGGAATGAATCTGAGTGATGCAATGAGGGAGGCTGTTGTTTGTAGGAGCCTTGCCTCACTTGTTGCATGGTAGTAGTGAGTGAGGCAGGGCATTGCATGAAGAGAAAGGACTGTCTCATAGTTGAGGCAATTGAATATGACTCTGGAGAACTGGATTTTTGTCCTTACCTATGCCACAGAGTTCCTGTGTAATGCTAAATAAATCACATAAACAAAACTGTTCATAGTGGGTTACTAATTTATTTCTCAATTTCTGGTTGCCTAACTTGATACCCTTGTGTTTAATATGCAGAAGTGCGTGGCACTCTGAGTTGCAACTAAAGTCTATAATAGTTCTGCTTTGAATATTTTAAGTACTCTGAAAAATTGGGTCCTGGGTATTTCAAATCAGGAAAACAAAATGTGTGTAAATTGTTTACCTTATTCTCTCTGTACTTCAGTTCCTATCTGTGAAAGGATGATATCATCACTTTATCTCACAGGGAGTGTTGTGAAGATAAATTTAATATTTACAAAGCACTGAAACTGTAGTGATGAGTACTATAAAAAGCAAATTAATAATTTTGTATAAGGTTTGAATAATGTGCCACAAAAAGGCATAAAGCTGCACAAGAACAAAACAGATTTGTGAACTGTGAATGAGGCAGAGTTCCTGTGGAAAAAATAGTTGTGATTACATACTATCTCATAATGTTTATGCACAGCACCAGCCTTATTTCTGGCACTTCCTAATTTTTGTGTGTTTGACTTATAAGTATAATGGTTTTTTTTAACATATTTGTATGTGTTGCCGTAGTCTATTATAGACTGCATAACTGAATGTTACTGCTGTTCATTCAGTTTTGTTATGTCTCTGGGTGTTGTATGGTGCCTAGTACATGATTCTCAAACTTTCTCCTTTGTATTTATAGGGGGCTTTAAAAGGAGAGGAGAAAGTTGACTTTTGAGTAGTTTATTAAAATAGTCTTCCAACCTCATAACTTCGCAGTTTTTATTCTATAACCCAAAAAACCCAATTATGCTTGCCCATAATTTGAGTTTATTTGGACAAAAATTGTGTTTTCATTTTATTTATTTGCAGAGGGGTTTTTGTTTTTTGTGTTTTGATTTTTTTTTACTTTAAGTCTCAGTTTGATATAGCAGATTTATGTTGAGTACTTCTCTGCTCGGCATTGTTAGGCATGTCAAAGACATAATTCCTTTAAATATCAAGGTTTACAGTATTTGTAACATATACTAAGGATCAGGACTGCTGAGGGGAGAAGGGAAGATAACTACCACTGTGACGGGGGGTCCCAGGCCATTTAAATTACCCAAATGAGCTGCAGAGCTCCTAGCCATAGGACTGGAACTGGCAATGGTGAAGGCAGCTGGTTGGGCATGTGGAAGTCCTGGCTGTGCAGGAAGAGCACACCCAACAGCACAGCCAGCAACTTGCTGGGCACCAGCCAATGTAGGTGCAACGCCAACAAATGTTAGATGAATATGTGTGTGTGTGGTGAGGGGGCCCATTCACTGTTCTGCATTGGGGCCCACAATTGCTGTTGGCGGGCCTGCTAAGGATGTATTAATTTGTGTTGTGCATCAGTTCTTTATCCATATTTCACCTTATTCTAGAGCAAGGAAGAAAAAAGCTTGTGTATTACTTATAAATAATTAGTAAATCACCAGAGATTTATAAATAGCAATAGAACTGTTCATTCACAGTGTGTTATTTCTCAAACTGTGAGGTTAGCCTCCTCAAGCAGGCTTTGATTCTTCAAAGGAGATTTCAGAAGAAGCAGAATGCAAATGTAAAATGTGTATTGTATATTGTTGAAACAATATGAACTTTCACTGCCATCAGTTGAAAAATGCTTTCAATAACATCAATAAATGGGCATTTCTGTGTAGTTCACAGGAAAAAGCAAGCCTAGAGCTATTGGCACTGTATGTAGGAAATACAATAAATAGCTTTTGAGTTCCAAAAATAGAAAAAGGTACATCGGGTTTACAGGATATAGCCAGCTGAAATGTCTTGTCTTTATTTTAAAATTAAAGTTTGTGGATAAGGGTCAAGATTAAAAAAAATCATACTCTTAAAATTTCTCGGTCTCATGTGCTTCACTGAAACAGTAAAGATATAATCTCCAAGCAACCTTTTTAATTCTTTAGGCATAAAATGTATTTTTCTACAATCTACTTTATCCTCCTAGAGTTGTATATGTGTTCGGTCCACCAGTCAAAGAACCTCCTATGGATGTTACACCCACTTTCCTGACAACCGGAGTCCTCAGCACTTTACGCCAAGCTGATTTTGAGGCTCATAATATTCTCAGGGAGTCTGGTAAGTATTTAGCCTGTATACATGAACTTATGCTTATCAGAAAATGCTTGTAATTCTTAAATCAGTATGTAGTTACATGTTTTGAGACAGAATATTCAAGAACTGTGCTGTGTATTTTCAAATAATCACTACTTAATATGGTGGTTGACTTATTTCTTATCCTGCAATGAATGGCTTGAGTTACTAGATGTCGTCCAAATAGAATGAAATTTAGAGTCTTTAAAATTATTCTTACAGAAATCACCTCAGAAATGAATTTTTGACACTACATAATGCCTGATTATGAATTCATCCTTGGTTTGTTGAGCAACAGTATCTTCCTCTAGCACTTTCCATTTCTCTGTGGAATTGTGTGTATGAATCAGTGATATGAAATTACATATGATGTTCTTGCCATTTTCACTTGTAGTGATCATCTTTTCTTACCCAAATATTAAATGTTTGAGAGATGATTTAAAATATTAAATAATAGAAACCTCTCAATAAGAGTAGCCAGAGCTGCTGAGAGCAGACAATATTACTTATTATCTGAAGTTTGAGGTATTTCTTTAAGCCAGGGTATGGAACCTTTTTTGGGTCAGGGGCTACTGATCCACAGAAAAATCAGTCGGGGGCTACACACAAGTGAGAAGCAAAAAAACCCAACCAAACCCTCACTGACTTGGTGGTCCCTGACTGAGAAGGAGGAAGATATTCTGCACATTCCTCACGCACACCAGAACCTTGGCGGGGAGGCTGGTAGATTTTGTGTGCTCCAGCCCCAGAATGGGACGGGGGAGGAGGGGAGGCTGGATCATCAGCGTGGGCTCTCTACTGCTGGGTGGGCAGCTCTGAGCTTCAGGGGCCAGATCCAGACAAGATGGGTGCCACATGTAGCCCCCCAGCCTTAGGTTCCCCACCCCTGCTTTAAGCTGAACAATCCATTAGTCTACTTTGAGGGTTTGAAACATAACAAATTAATATGAAGTGATGGCTCAATAGTGAAGAGTGGGCTGAATGTGCTAAGATTAGGGCTGTCAATTGAAAGGGGCAGTGGAGCCTGCATGGCATTTCCCTAGAACTTGGGATCAGCTGAGGAGTCCCTACCTGTTAAAAGCATAAACATATCAGGAGGCAGAAGATGCAGTCACCTTGACTATGTCAATGTTTCAGAGCCTAGGTTTACAAATAAATCTAAAACAATGCAAACTCACACCAACACAAAAATTAGAGTTCATAGGAGCCCACCTAGGCTGCACAGTGGCAATAGCCTCTCTTCCACAATAAAGGTTTCAGACAATCACGGAACTGGTAAGAATGGCTCAGAGCAGTCCCCAAGTCACTGCAAAGCTATGCCTTCAACTATTGGGTCACATGGCTGCAGCTGCCTTTGTGGTACAACATGCTAAATTATACATGAGACCCATGCAGCTGTGCCTAAGAATAGTTTACAAGCCAGATTTCCACAGTATCAACAAAACCACGTCAATTCCTATCAAAGTGAAACAGTCCTTAGGTTGGTAGACAAACCCAGTCAATGTGTGCAAGGGAGCACCTTTCCACTTTCAACTACCGTCCATAACTGTCACCACAGATGCATCTGTCCTGGTTTGGGGTGCACACATCGGGCAAATAGAAGGTGCAAGGTCAATGGTTCCCAGAGGAATCCAAGTTGCACATAAACATAGTAGAGGTTAGGATAAGGATGTTAAGTATTGGATAATTGATTCGACTTTGCAGTTTGCATTGACTGTTCGATTAGTTGATAGTTTGCCTCTGCCTTTGAAGTATAGCAGAAACTCTAGGGCTGTTGCTACACTTCAAAGGCAAAAGCACTGCGTGGAGCCCAGGGTCAGTTGGGGACTTACCCGCTGACCCCTGGCTCCATGCCGCACTGCCGCTTTGAAATGCTAGGAGGAGCTTGATGCCGGGCTCCCCGCAGCGTTTCAAAGCAGCAGCACTTCACGGAGCCCAGGGTCATCTGAAGAGTCTCCAGCTGATCCTGGGCTCCATGCAGCGCTGTCACTTTGAAACACTGTGTGCAGCCTGGGGACACCCTAGCTGGCAACGGGCTGCATGTGGCTTTTCATAGTGGCAGCACCACATGGAGCCCCCCCCGGGGTCTGGCCCCAGGCTTCAAGCAGTGCTGCTGTTTTGAAAAATCTCCCCTCCCCCCCCTTTGCTGCCTCTATTTGATAGAGGCAGCAAGGAGTGGGAAGCGACTCATCGACTATCCTGTCAACTATCTAATAAGCATTTGCTTATCGGATAGTCGACTAGTCTACTAGTCCTTCACATCCCTAGGGCAGGGCAGTAAACAATGCTTGCCAACACCTTTTACATCTAATTTGCAAAAAAAGTATACATTTTTACGCCCCATCAGACAACCATGTACTACATACAGTAAGCCGCCAGGATGGAGCCTAGTCATACCACCTCTGTATGAAGTCTGGCTATGGAGATGGTGTGTCCCATACAACATACACCTTTGATCCACCTATTTGCCAGACAAGTTCAATACCATGGCAGACACCCTTACCAAGAACTTCAGTTTGAATCATGAATGGGGGATCGATACCAATCTCCTATTAGAAGTGTTCAGTCAGTGGGGATTCCCTGTTGTGGACTTGTTTGCAACTAGTACCCACAAGAAGTACTGTTCTTGTGAGAGCATTGGAATGTACTTTCTAGGGGATGCGTTCACAATAACAAGGAGTTCACCACTATCATACGCGTTCTAACCAATACCAGTTCTCCATCGAGTAATCAACAGGATAAAGCAGGACAGGTCCATAGTAATAGTAATCACTCCCTGTTGGCCCAGACAGACATGGTATCTGTGTCTGATGCATTTGTCCACAAAGAAGCCATGGCATTTCCCCACACTCCTGCATATTGACTCAGAACGGAGGTCACATACACCATCCATGAGTCCACACTCTCCATCTGCAGGCATGGTTTCTGACTGGATTCTTCTCAATAGTTGCAGGATAACTATGTGAAAATGATACATTTATTAAGTGGCACAGGTGATGCTTCCCATTATGAGGCCATCTTAAAGCTAGCTAAGATTGTCTAGTGTAGCTAATCATCTGATTATATTACCTTTTGTTGTGGCTAATTTATATGTAATCAATCATGGGAATTTTTAGTAAATGTCATGGACAAGTCAGGGGAAGAAAACAAAAATTCATGGCCCATGTCTTGTCCATGAATGATTTTCCATAAATATCCTGGACTTAATCTTAATGGGGGCTAGGAGACTGCTGCTGGGAGGGGAGGCTGCTTAGGAAGGGGGAGCTCCAGGGAGCCTGTTGGCAGTTGGGCCACCGAGCAGAGGCTGCTGTGGCCTCCCCTTGGACCACAGCTCAGGCAGTCCCCAAGGTCAGCTGCACTGGCTGTTGCTTAGGGGCGGTCTTCTGGGTCAGTTGCCTGGGGCCCCATTCCACACCTGGGCAGCTGGCTGCTGAGCCACTGCAGCAATGACTGTTTCCCAGGACCAACTGCTTGGGTAGTCCTACGGTCAGCCATACTGGCCACTGCAAAAGTCACAGCAGTCGAGGAAAGTTATAGAATCTGTGATGTCTACAACTTCTGTGAAAGACACGGAGCCCTATTGATTAGTAGATTTGAGCTGTAGGTATAGGAATAAGCAGGATTGCGTTACATAAGTATAAGGGGGACAAGAATTTGAGTGTGTATTAGGTATAAAAGCAGCTATAATGCAAGACCTAAAGGCCAAGGCTTGTTAAGACTTCTGCTTAGTTCCATAAGGCCTTATAAACCATATTTGTGGTTGTGTTTAACCAATTACCCTTTCCAAGATGAGGGTTTGCATCTACTCCAGTCTGTGAGGCTATGTCTAGACTGCAGGCTTCTTTCGAAAGAGCCTCTTTCGAAAGATCGCGTCTAGACTGCAGGCGGATCTTTCGAAAGAGCAATCCGCTTTTTCGAAAGAGAGCACCCAGCGAGTCTGGATGCTCTCTTTCGAGGAAGCCCTATTTACATTGAAGAACGCCTTCTTTCGAAAGAGAAACTTTCGAAAGAAGGCGTTCTTCCTCGTGAAACGAGGTTTACCGCCATCGAAAGAAAAGCCGCGTTCTTTCGAAATAATTTCGAAAGAACGCGGCTTGAGTCTGGACGCAGGGGAAGTTTTTTCGGGAAAAGGCTACTTTTCCCGAAAAAACCCCTGAGTCTGGACACAGCCTATGAGTTCAGCCCCTAACATCAACTACTGTAGAGGGTTCATGGGGAGCCCTCCACAATGCACAACAGAAACTATGTAGTGCTCTTTCTGTAATAATTTCTATTAACTTAACAAAACAGTCCACACACTGCAGTCAGGTAAAGGA